GATCAAGAGTGGCTCCTTGAATATCTCCCGGAGTATTTGTGTTTAAAAATGCCATTTGTCCGTTATGCTTTTCAAATTTTGGTAATGTCGACGTTTGAAATATCTTGACAAGGGGTAAAGTTTCTTGTGCGTTCTTGTTTTCTGTTTTAGAGCTTCTTTTCTGTCTTTATATTTAACTTCTCAGAGGGTCTTTTCTACCATTTGCTCCGCGTAGCCTCTCGAGATAAACTTCAATGTAAACTTCACCAATAACCCTTACGCAAGCAAGGGAGTTTATCGGTAGATATTATCACATATTTCACTGTTATTCAAACCAAAACTTACATTTTCCACGTATCAACATTGCCCAAATCCATTTGCGATAAAACAACGGCGAAAAGGCGTTGATCTCTCCCCAAAATCGTTTTTTACAATAACTATCTACTTTCTCGCTCGCTGATATAATTGGCTCATTTTTATCATCAATAAGAGTACAGGGGAATAAGATTCTAATTTATGCAAGCTTTCAAGTTCAACTTTCAGCTGTCAAACTGTCAACTTTTTAACCAATGAGATTTTATGGACTTTTTGAAGTAGCCAATCAAAAAGCGAGAAATTAAAAGCCATTGACAATGTTCGCGTCATTTTGAGTAAAATTCACTTATCTTTGTTTATGGCAAGTTTACGGCGTCTTTTCCCCTCATTTATTCCCGGCATTTGACAATTCTGGGGTCTTGTTATTGTAAAAAACAAATTGACGTCTGTTTTTTATGCGTCTGTACTCTTATTTATGTTTCAACCCGCCCAACTATTTAGGAAATCAATGATTAACAATTTTTAAAGAGAGTAGCCTGCTTATAAAGTACTTGAATCAGACACTTTGGATGCGACTCATTACAGTGGTCACAAACTACAATCCTCCACTGGCAGGAGTTGGTCGCGTGTTCTTCAAGTTCTTTTCTTTGAATCGTCACTTGACAGATTTCGTTGGTGCAAGAAACAAGCTTGAAACTGCAAGACGCTAGATGATCCTGTTAAAGTAAGTTAATGTATTAGTATAGCTTAAAAATAACATGACAATTTTCTTCAACAGTTACTCGGTTGGTTCAATGTTACTCTCACTACAAGCGTCACTGAAATGTACGTTGAAAGTGATTTTGAAGCGATACCGACTCGATGCATTAACATCAACTGCCATTTGGTATTCACTAATGCCAACCACAGTAAATCTCTTGTTGGCACAGTAATAACTGCTTATGGTTACCTTATGCTTTAGAGCACCATTAAGGTGTGTCGCGTCCAAGCGTTGTAGCGCGTCCGGTTTAAACTGTAAATACCTTAACCCCTATATCAAATTAAAGCTTACAGAGCTGGCTATACACTATGCCAGGAATTTTGAAATAAAATGAATTGTCGAGTTTTTCGACCTTTAAATGTGAGCGTCCGAATCTTCTTTTGGGTCCCTTTTAAAAAGCTACAAGTCAAAGGGAATTTGTTCGTTTGCCCTCAAATTTGGGCAGTAGCTAGTTTGACATGTAAGCAACAAAAACATGTCTGCGAATCTTTTATTTCTAACTATTTTTTCTCCGAGAGCGATTTTTCTACGATCACTCCATATTTTTTTAATCCTACTTTCTAACCCTAACCCCAAAATGAATATGGCAAATCGCAGACATCTTTTTTAGCGCTTTGGGTCCGAAAACTGAGGGACAAATTAAATAAGTGAAAAACAAAATTTGCTTTGAATTGTAGTTTTCAAAAGATAATTCGATGGCTCGTTTTAATTGGAGGACGTAAAAAATTGACAATTCATTTTGTTTCAAAATTCTGAAAAAAAAAAACAAACAAATCGAGTTTGAACTGGATTCTAATTCATGTCCACTGCAATGTGGGCGCAGTGCTAATGTTTTACCAACTGACTCGCTAACTCACAAAGTGATGCGACAGCTTGCTTCCTTACCTCTTTTTCCCTTAGTTCACCGGTCCAATCGCAACCATCACTGGAGCATTTTATTTTAAACGAAAGAATCTTCCTTTCGGTGGCTTTGTCGGGAAATATATCCTTCATAAAAACAAATGATAAATCATCACATATACGTGCATTTGCAAAATTTAACTGCATTTATGGGCCAGATAATGTTTGTTTACAGTAAGCCTCACAGCGTTAAGTTTTTCCATAAAATCTCTAGCAACAGCTGCAGGCATTTCCTTTTTCCCCCTTTTTCAACAGCCCTATCAGTTATTTTTTCCCCTGTCACGAAAGGCGTCTTGCGATATGTAAGGAATTAAATGACTGCAAACTAGTTTTTGTTTTCTCCGACTTCTTTTAACTTGTTGATAACGATGTTTTTACCATTTGGCGGTCAAGTTCCTCTCTTTCAACGGGACAACTACACTCTTGTTGCTGGCTTTCTTGGCTGTGAACGAACATTAAGAATTGTTAGGGTCTTTTTTGACGGACTGTTACTCTGGCTTCCCAAGTAATGCACCTATCAATGTTAAGCCGCTGGGGGGGGCNGCATTTGCAAAATTTAACTGCATTTATGGGCCAGATAATGTTTGTTTACAGTAAGCCTCACAGCGTTAAGTTTTTCCATAAAATCTCTAGCAACAGCTGCAGGCATTTCCTTTTTCCCCCCTTTTTCAACAGCCCTATCAGTTATTTTTTCCCCTGTCACGAAGGGCGTCTTGCGATATGTAAGGAATTAAATGACTGCAAACTAGTTTTCAGTTTTCTCCGACTTCTCTTAACTTGTTGATAACGATGTTTTTACCATTTGGCGGTCAAGTTCCTCTCTTTCAACAGGACAACTACACTCTTGTTGCTGGCTTTCTTGGCTGTGAACGAACATTAAGAATTGTTAGGGTCTTTTTTGACGGACTGTTACTCTGGCTTCCCAAGTAATGCACCTATCAATGTTAAGCCGCTGGGGGGGGCGGGGGGGGGAGACCGGGCATAGGCGGGGGTTTTGACGTAACAAGTCTGCCCGTGGTTGGGACTTTTGATCTTTCGCCGAGTCCCGGGGGTCGGAAGTTTTGACTTCAACCGTTAGTAGACTAAGCCCTACCGACACCATCTTGGATGACCGAGAATGACTGGAAACAAACTGAACAGAATTGGAAGAAAACAATGTTCCAGATCGCTGGCTGTGCAGGAGATGCTCAGAAGTTTGGTGTTGAACTGAACATTGTTGCAGATATTCTGTAAACAAGGCCTTTGTTACAGATCTTAGTTTTTCCTTAGTTAAAGGTTAACTCCATTGCTGAACATCGTTGATTTGTATTTTGAAAGTTATGTACGGAAACAAATTTCCGAATCCTACATAACATAAGACTGTTTCTAATTTAAGCTCAAATGAATTGAAATTATGAAACATTTTACAGGATAGCGTTCTGTATTCACCTTCATACATTCAATTTGCAATGCATGTTGTTTCTAAGCGTGGTTATAATTTTAGTACTAAACGAAATTGAATTATTGAACTTCATCTTCATGAGCCTATCATGTACGGTGTATTATTATGAATTAGTGAATACATCTAAGATCTTGAGTCCTCTTATGGGGCTTTTTCATATATCTCTACTACAGATAGAGTTCAACATTTTATTTCCATCGTTTCTGTTTAAATTGTAAGTAATTAAAATGTCACAATAGTGTAGGACATTAGTCGTGATAAGAATTTCCATGTTTTCTGTCTTGTTAAGTCGTATATGTTTAGGGAGTCGTCACAACTTTAATATAAATTAGGTGACATTTTTCTATCAAACAGATGTTGCATTTCAAGTTGTTGCTTTGTAGCCTTAATTTTAATTACAACTTTTTGATGTTTAATTCTCTTTTTCACAGACCTATGCCTTTTTCTAGATAGAGGTGGAGAATTTGCATTCTTTGGAACAACGCTAATATCCCTGGGATGGGGAATTTGCACTCTTGACCAAGGTTAATTTCCCTGGGGTCGCGCATTTGAACTGAAAAGATGATCGGAGTTCAAATCCCCCGCCTTTGCCCGGCCTCCCACCACCCCCCGCAGCTTAACATTAATAGGTGCATAAATCGTAACTCCATGACGCTCAGCTGAAAAAATATGAACCAATTGTTTTGTATCACTTGTATTTGCCATACGCCTGCATCGTAGGATTATGATACATAGTTTAGGGCTGCTTTTCTCGCATCTTGTTACTAGAACTCAGCTTTAAAAGCAACTTCGTCCTTTCGTTTAAGATAATCAAATGCGTCATTTATTTAAATTAATGTTTAGGCTAACTTTTTTTTGTCTACCCTACTATGTTTATTCATGAGTACAAGCAAGTCCTCCCAAGTGTCTTTTCGGTTATACACGGTACAAAATTATAAACGTTTTGAATTCCA